AATCTTCAAGAAACATATCCAGTACTTTTATAGTGGTAGAATGAACAATGTTAGAAAAACATACTTGTCTTGTCCAACAGCCAAAGTATAATGACAAAACTTGTTGTTCCAGACATTGGACAATATGAATGTAACACTTTATTTCTGCAAAACCTTTTTTTTTTGGCAATTGTACATTATAGGTCATCTATTTCCATATCATGAAGAAAAGAATATAAGGACATGTGATGAATCAAGATCATTAAACCTAAAGAATTGATGTACATGCCATAACCTGATGTACACATCATACAATTCAGTATCTAAAGCAAAATAGTTAGTTTAAAACCCACCTCATCACAACAGATGTTGGATTACAAAAGTGGCTACTTTCCACAATATTGATGTTCAAACTTATGTATGTCCCACCCACCCTCCCACAACCAAGACTGGCACAGGTAAATAAGGTTGATTTCAGGCCAAAATCTTCTTTCAGTTTAGACAAAGGCAAAATCTTTGAGCCATAGGTAAAACATCGAGAATGACCTCTTCCAATGAGAAGTTTGCTTGAAGAAAATTAGTGTAAAATTAATTACATGTATTAAAATATAAGCGTAATCATGACTGCGGACAGATTTTCTCATGCTTTTTTCTAGCAGTGACTCAAAACTTAATATCTGAACAATACCACATAAATAGTCTTTCATTATAAAAAGCTTGCAAAATTAGTTTTGGTGAATTCTAAGTTATCATATTTTTTGCTGCCATAAATCGACAGATAAGAAAAAGAAAAGAATGAAGATACAAAATACAATGTTTTGTTGACAATTATTTTTCTAACTTAATGAGAGTGAAATAAATAGCCATTTTGAACTTCAAGCCTTGCCTTATACAAGCTGATAGTGTAAAACCTTGTAATCATTTCAATATTCCAAAAACAATTATCATAAAATCACAATATTGTATACCTTGCCCAAATATAATGTATCTGATGAGGTGACACAATGGATTACAAGAAAAAAAAGGGAGAAAAAATTAATATTAACAGCATACAAATTATACTTGTAAAGCAGTTTTGATTTTTAAAAATCCAGAAAAAAATTTGTTCTTCAAAGGAAAAGTTTAAGGTAAGCATAAAATAAAAGTTATTTTATACTTACTTTTTTGAAAAAAAAAAAGCAAAACAAATAGGGTAAATTAGCTTTTAATGTTATAAAGCAATTAATTTGGGTCACCTGAAAGCACTTTAAGATCCATACATGATGGAAAACATTCTTAATATCAAAACAATGTTTTTTGAACAATACATGCATATACATCTTTGTACAAATATAATCATAAACGATAATACAATGAAAACAATAATTAACTCACTCTCAGAATTGGCCAAGCATAATTAATAACTATACTTTTTATACAACCCATAAAGAGTTAGTCTAGACCCAATCTTTACCTTATTAACTTTTGATTTGACAAAATGCTTGGCTATTATTTCTACTACCTGGACATGAAATAGATTAAGCAATCTAAATTTTGTCCAACTAAGGATTTCTTTCACAAATAAAGCTAAAATAATTTAACTATTGCAGCTTTATTTATACTAAAAAGTTACTTGTTTTACATATATTTATATTATTCAACCATTTATTTTCATCTGCATTTTACGAGAAAGTTACTGCACCTCAACATAGCGAGTACAATGTTTTAACACTATTTCAGAAGATACTTAATATGTTACTAACGTACAAACAAGCTAAATAATGAATCAATCCAAACCACTACATGGACCTGAGAAAATTGTGAAGAACCTCTCTCTCTGTTGTGTTCGTGTTTGTTGCAAGATAATATATGTGAAAATGGTTTACTAATAAAAGACATAAAAATAAGTCACGTGTGCTTTGCACAGATTATAAAAATAAGTATCCTAAATTTTATCATTAAAGCCAACAGTAATGTTAGTAGATAGCCAGGCAGGAAAATAATTTTACCTTTATAAATGTTTTCTATACATGTAAGGTAATTACTGTATTGATCTGTAGTTAAATAACTATAGTGTATGCACTATATTTTTTGAAATTTTAATCACTAAATCAATGTTGTAACACACAATTTTTCTGTTCTTCTATTTGTTTTAGTTCTGTCTATGAACTCCTATAATTGAAGTCTAGACATGCTATCCAAATATTCATTATTTTACGTGTATTTCTTTATCCGCTTCCTATGTACTATGCACTTTAAAGATAAATTTCTATTAATTTACTTTAATGTTAAACATTTTTGGAATTAAGCAAATGTTAAATTGTTCTTAAAATATTGTGTACACTGAATGATCTAAAATAGAATAGATAATAATTCTTATATTTGAATAAAACACTTTTTTTAATTT